CTGCTTTCCCACTCAGTTTACTTATGAGAATAACAGAAGCATAAGTAGGACTCCTGCCTTACTTTTAAAATTCCTTCTTACAAAATATATACATATGAAAATTTATAAAATAGAAACAAGGAATACTAAGTTCACCAAAAATCCCATTCCTTTATTCAACAAATATTCACTGAGTACCACGATCCCAGCACCATGCCAGGCCTTGTGCTAGATACTGAGGACAGAGTAATGAATAAGACCAAGTCTTGTCCTGTGGAGCTTATGTTGCAGTGGGGTGAGAAGCACTTCAAAGGTTATTGCTGGTAATGTTTTTGGATACATCTTTGCTTTTTATATGCAAGTATATCTATATATCACACAATTATCTCACCTTTGTAAGTATCTGAACATATATACATATATGTATGCATATGTGTATGTGTAGTCAGTCTATTTGTTAATCTGGTTTCTTTCATCTAAATAGTATATGATGAATTCCTTCCATAATAAAGTATTCTTCTGAAAATATTTTTTTTAATATTATGCTATTTTATTAATATTTATTTTTCCTTTTTTTGTTTTGTTTGGGCAAGGGAGATCAATGTTTTTGTTTTTGTTTTTGTTTTTGAGAACAATTAGCCCTAAGCTAACATCTGCTGCCAATCCTCCTCTTTTTGCTGAGGAAGACTGGCCCTGAGCTAACATCCGTGCCCATCTTCCTCTACTTTATACGTGGGACGCCTGCCACAGCATGGCTTGCCAAGTGGTGCCATGTCCGCACCTGGGATTCAAACCAGCGAACCCCAGGCCACCAAAGCAGAACATGGGCACTTAACCACTGCGCCACCAGGCTGGTCCCTGAAAATATTTTTAATGATTGCATAATAGTCCATTGTGTGGATGTACCAAACTTAGCTAACCAATTTAGCTGTTTTTGCACATTTATTCTTTCATTATTATAGAGACTCTTCCAGCGGCTCCTTATTATATCTTTGGGTATATCTTTGATTACTTCCTCAGGACTCAGTTCTAGTCATGGAATAGCAGACGGAAGGTTATGCAAAATTTTAATATTCTTTATTATTGTTTTGAGATGAGAAAGTAAACGGAACTCCTCTCTTCTACAGTATGGAGGTTACTTGAATATTGCAGTTTCTGATAAAGAAGAGAAAGTCAATGGCTTCGTGTGCTCAGGTCTTAGCTTCCTTCATATTTCGTCATACCAACCAGAGCTATATAATTAAATAATTATTCATCAGGAGAGTAAACCATTAATCTGTAGCACCTGAACACTTCTAGAAGCCTTAGAACTTGAAATTGTGCCAAAATAGATTCTATATATGTGTAAATGTAACATGAATAACATTTCAGGTGTCACCATCACTTTACCTATAAAATGAATATTATTCAAACTGATGACTAGAGAGAAAATCCAGACTTGTTTTTCACCAATATCTTCCGCCAATAATTCTTAAACAGCTGTGCTTTTGGAATGATCCATAACCATGGGAAGAGGCCTTCGAAGGCTAAAATTTTAGTTTGCCTTTCCCATATGCATGAATCCTTTATTTCTTTGCTATTTTATAAGTTGATCACATCTCTCCTGGTCTTATGATAGATAAGCAAAACCACAATAGATTATGGTTGAAATTTGACATAAGAACATAGTTTTCTGAATGGTGTTTACATGCCAATTACTTTTTTTTAGGTTTGGATCCTACAAGGAAGGACACAATTTTGAGAACAACCATCATTTTCATATGAGTACTCCCAAATACTTTTTATGAGCTATTTAAAACAAGAATTCATTGACTGGGCAAGTCTAAGGAAAACAAAAGTATGCAAGATAAAAAGAAGAGATGAATGAAAGTGGGAAACCACATACAAAGAATGAAAAATATGCTATCTATACAGGGGGATAATCCATCAATTTATAAAATATATTGTGTAATAAAAGCATTTCTCCAAGTTGTTTTCCTTAAGTTTTTGATAAAAAATAGAATATGGGGGTAATATAAGAAAGTTTTGCTATTAGAGATAAAACAATAAAAGTGTCTTACCTTCTTAATGCTTAAAAATAGAAAATTGATTTATTGATGAGCTAGAAGGACTACTCACAAAAGTCAAGCAGACTTAAATCCTTCTTGGGACAAAGGAGGAAAAAAATGTTTAAAGATCAAGACTACTTGTTAGAAGAAGACGTGTATATATAGCCATTGCTGACCCAGCAGCAGCAGCACCATGCCCCTCACCGTCCTTCTCTGAGCTCTGGTGGAATCATCTGTCTTTCCTCCCAAACTTATATCACTCCCCACATGACACGCTGTTCTGTTGTCTCCGGTCAGTCAGGCCACCAGATGTCAGGGAGCACACCTCAACACACACAGGGGTCCCACAGAGTGAATTTCTTTTTTTGGCATTCAAGGCTTTTTTTTTTTTTTTTTTTGAGAAAGATTAGCCCTGAGCTAACATCTGCTGCCAATCCTCCTCTTTTTGCTGAGGAAGACTGGCCCTGAGCTCACATCCATGCCCCTCTTCCTCCACTTTATATGTGGGACACCTACCACAGCATGGCTTTTGCCAGGTGGTGCCATGTCCGCACCCAGGATACAAACCGGCGAACCCCTGGCCACCAAAGCAGAATGTGTGCACTTAATGGCTGCGCCACTGGGCCAGCCCAAGGCTTTATTTAAAAAACTATTTTACTAAGGTCATATTGGCTTATGACATTGTGTACATTTCAGGTGTACATTATTATATATCAGTTTCTGTATAGACTGCCTTGTGTTCATCACCAATAGTCTTGTCTTTCTCTGTCACCATAGATGTGTGCCCCTTTACCCCTTTTGCCCTCCCCTCACTCCCTTCCCCTCCGGTAACCACTAACCTGTTCTTGTCCATGCATTTGTTTATCTTCCACATATGAGTGAAATCATGCGGTATTTGTCTTTGTCTGACTTATTTCACTTAGCATAATACCTTCAAGGTGCATCCATGTTGTTGCAAATGGCACGCTTTTGTCTTTTTTTATGGATGAGTAGTGTTCCATTGTGTATATATACCACATCTTCTTTGTCCATTCATCTGTTGATGGGCGTTTGGGCTGCTTCCACATCTTGGCTATTGTGAATAATGCCGCGATGAACATAGGGGTGCATAAATGTCTTTGAATGTTGATTTCATCCTCTTTGTATGAATACCCAGAAGTGGACTAGCTGGATCATATGGTAGTTCTATTTTTAATTTTTTGAGACATCTCGATACTGTTTTCCCTCGTGGCTGCACCAGTTTGCATTCCCACCTGCAGTGTAATTTTCTTCCCCAAACCTAGCAGGTCAGTGATGGGGAGAATCCGACCCAAGAGCACCGTCTCCACAGGGAATAGTGATTTGACTGTTGTTCAGGGAGGCACATAACATCTTACAACTGGAAAGGGCTCTGAATGTTGTTTTATCATTTTGGGCAGAGATAAAAATTACAAGAGAATTTGCAAAGGTTTTATGTTGCAGTCTCAGGTTCCTTGGATCTATTTAGTAAACACATTTTGAGCACACTGCCGTATGTAAAACATTACATCCCAGTGATGGTTTTAAAAATATATCCACAAATGATTTGGCACTTCCTTCAAAAGCTGGAACCTAATTCACCTCTTTTTGAATTTGGGCTGGACTTAGTGACCCACTTCTGGTGAAAAAAATAAAGTGAAAGAGATGACATGCAACTTCCAAGCTTAGGTTAAAGAAAAATATTGTGGCTCCTGCCTTAATTCTCACCCTCTTGGCTCTGGGAGAAGCCAGCCATGTCCTGAGCAGCCCTGTGGAAAGATGGTGAGGACCTGAGGCCTCTTCTTGCCAACAGCCATGTGAATGAGCCACCGTCGACGTGGAACCTCCAGCCCCAGCCACATTTCAGATTGTACTTCAGCCCCAGCGGACATCTTGACCTAAGCCCAACCATCTAGTTTAGCCGCTCCTGAATTCTTAACAGATAATAACTATTGTTTTAAGCCAACTGTGTATTGGGGTAATTTGCTATGCCTCTATAGATAACTAATACAGTCCTGAACCTATTCATATTTGAGAAACTTTGAGAGCCCGACAACAACAAATGTATTTACTTAGTGTCTCTTATATCCATAGTACTGTGCTAGGCACGTGGTGGCAGTAGCAGGTGTCACTTAACTGAAAAGACATTGCCCTTTCCTCTGGATCCTAATTGCCAAGTTCGGGAGACAGAAAGATACAAAGACAGCTTGAATGGTAACTACTGACTGTTGACACTCTATTGAGCCAAGTACTTTAGCAACATCATCTCTGACAACAATACTGTAAGGTTATGTAACCCAGATGCCAACTGGGGTCTCCTTACGTTTCAGCTCTGGATAAGATGGCCAGAACCCCGATTCCACTTCCTCCTGAACACAGTGTCCTCCCCAAGATTTCTGTGAATTGTGGGAAGTTAAGGGCAAGATTCACATTTTTACGGTCACTTCTCTCACTGATCTCCTTCTACTGTCACAGTTCAGTTCATAGGTGGTCTTACTCTTGCATTTCTCACATTTGGATTATGCTACAATGCAAGGTAAATACAAGGAGAGAATGCATTTAATGCACCTAGCCAGTGCCCAGCTCTCAGGAGGTGCTTAGTATTTCCCAAAGTTCTGGGAGGCAGATCCACACGCAGACAGCAAGTGCCGTCTCTACTGTGCCCAGCAAACGTAGAATCAGTTCTTTCCTTGACTTCCTCAAAACAAAGAAGAACAAAACACTCTCACCGTGTGTTTTAGTGGGTAGCGTATTTTACTGAACGTTTGGGAAGACAGAGAGGGGATTTACATTACGAAAACTCAAAACGTCTTCGAACACCATAACCTGATACTCCCTTGATTTACAAATCTTTTGTCTCCACATCGTGTAGTTTAGGCATCTCCCTCTTCTCTGGTTTTCCATACCTCCTCCAAATTTCTATTAATTTGTAATGCAAATCAGATTAACTATCTTTCTCTCGTCTTTTCTTTTAAGGGTTGATACTTCCTGCACTGAAAACATTTTCCGTTACTATTAACCAGCTCCGGGAGGTGAGCGTGTGGGGAAGAGAGCAGTGTCCTACGTTGACTTCGCTTGTAACCAGTGGGATGACTTAGCCAAAAGCAGTCTGCTCTTAAATATCTTGACTGCCCTCTAAGCTGTTGAAAGAAAGGTCAGCATTTGGAGGGGAATAACAACATTAGTAATAACAGTAACAATAATGTGTGAAAATCAGGTAGTGATAGAGTAATAATAATAATATCAATAACCACAAGATGAATAACAAGAGAATGAAACTGTTAACAATGATAATAATACCTTGCATTTAAGAAGTTATTATGACGTTAAAACGCTTCCAAATATGTCATCTGTTTTCACAGATAACCCTCACAACAGCCTTGTGTGGGAGGTAGGTATTATTATCCTCATTTTACTGATGAGGAAACTAAGGCACACCAAGGTCAAATGACTTGCCCAAGGTTGTACAAGTAGTTGAGTCAAGAAGGAAACCCTGAGGGCCAGCCCTGTGGCTGAGTAGTTAAGTTCTCACGCTCCGCTTCAGCAGCCCCGGGTTTCGCCGGTTCGAATCCTGGGCGTGGACATGGCACTGCTCATCAGGCCATGCTGAGGCGGTGTCCCATATGTCACAACTAGAAGGACCCACAACTAAAAATTCACAATTATGTACCGGGGGGTGTTGGGGAGAAAAAGGAAAAATAAAATCTTTAAAAAGAAAAAAAGAAAAGAAAAAGCCCTGGTCCCCTGACTCTCAGACCTGTGCTTTTTCCATACAAACACAATTCTGCCTCTATATCTAAACCAAAGCCAAGAAGTTCTGTATGATGAGTCATTGTACAAAAGGGGTTTCCATAAGAGGGACTGGACGTGCCCTACATTCTTTCATTTGGAGGGACAAGTTGTAATGGGCCATCCAATCTCTGCTTAAGTCTATTGGGTCACAAAGGCTCCATATTTGGGGTAAAGTTTGTGGCCATGAGTAAAGCTGCCCTCTGTGTGAAGTAAGCTGAAATCAGTTCACAGTTCACTGTGACCATGGTTTATTACCAAGATTTTTTTTTTTTGGAGGAAGATCAGCCCTGAGCTAACTACTGCCAATCCTCCTCTTTTTGCTGAGGAAGACTGGCCCTGAGCTAACATCTGTGCCCATCTTCCTCCACTTTATATGTGGGGCGCCTACCACAGCGTGGCATGCCAAGCAGTGCCATGTCTGCACCCAGGATCCGAACCCAAGAACCCTGGGCTGCCGAAGCAGAATGTGCGAACTTAACAGCTGTGCCACCAGGCCAGCCCCCAAGGTTGTTTTTTAATTGCCCTTCAGAAGTTTTATATCAATTTTTACTAGTAAATACTGTTTAAGAAACTGCCTCTGAGTTAAAAATTACACCTTAGAGAATATATTAGAGAATATATATATCAAAATTTAATTACAGAAAACAAAGTTAGACGATAGGTATTAGTATTAATTATATAATTAATGATTAACATTAATCATGCTAATGGTATTATGAGATATTGTATTTTTTGAATACTGTTTTATTTATTACATAAAGCATTATTACAATTAAGTCTCACCGTGGATCACAATTTTTATCAATAAAAAATAACTTTGCTCTCCTAAGTGCTTTTTTTCTTGAATTCTACATTTATAGTAACATTTCTCCCTTCATTTCTTTTCGTTTGAGTGTATTTGCTATATTTTCTCATCACTTCCCTTTATTAAAACTTTCTCTTTTTTTTGTTTTTCTTTTGTTTTGTTTTTTAAGGAAGATTAGCCCTGAGCAAACATCTGCCACCAATCCTCCTCTTTTTGCTGAGGAAGACTGGCCCTGAGCTAACATCTGTGCTCTGTGCCCATCTTCCTCTACTTTCTTTTTTTCTTTTTTGAGGAAGATTAGCCCTGAGCTAACTACTGCCAGTCCTCCTCTTTTTGCTGAGGAAGACTGGCCCTGAGCTAACATCTGTGCCCACCTTTCTCTACTTTCTATGTGGGACACCTGCCACAGCATGGCTTGACAAGCAGTGCATAGGTCCGTACCCAGGTTCCAAACCAGCGAACCCTGGGCCATTGAAGCAGAACGTATGAACTTTGCCGCGCCACCGGACTAGCCCCCAACCTTGCACTAGTTCTAACAGAAAGTACATGGAGGATGGGTATTATGTAATCCCCTTTAACCTGATGGGGATTATTCCAATGCAAGCATAGTAACTCAGAGTGCCTCTAACCCTTTCAGCCTGGCACATGCTTGCCGTTGTTGAGTCCGGAGGTAAAATAAAGATTCTGCTGTTTTGGGTGGGGTGGGGGTGTGGCTGACCACAGTTTCTCTGATTGCTCAGCCCTTTTGAGAAGACCCTTGGCCTGCCTTGGAGTAGGAGGCTAAGGCTGGTGGGAAATTGGTGGGAGGGCAGGTTGCCATCCTGAGAACTCAAGGGGACGGCTTTGGAGACTTGGATGATGTGGTTGAACTTGAAACGATTGGTAAACGAGTATAATCTGTCCATCCAGCAAAATACAGCATGCTCTTAACTCTCCCCACTTTTAAGGTCTCTGAGGAAATCGGTAGATTAGAAATGAAACCGATTCTGTGGAAGTTTACAGTTCTTGTTAGTGATAACACCAGAGTCCATATTCTGTAATTGGATCCAGGAGGATTTGATTCCTCTTCAGTTCCAGTTTACTTTGTAGGGAAGGAAAGTGTCCAGATGCCTTGTGTTTGCAATGCTTCCTAGTAGAGTAAACACCGTATAAACATTTCTCTGGGCTTTTTTTCTTTTTCTTTTTTGGCACAACAGAAATGTTCTAACCATATCTCTGTAAACATTTTTTATCATTTCGGGCAGTTTTCCACTTAGATTTTTTTTTTCCTTTAAAAAATTTAGCTAGCTAGCAAGATGTTGAATATGGTTTTTGTTTTCTTTTTTTCTAGATTCTCTTTAAATTTAAGATGAGAATTCATCTGTTTCTTGAGTATGTCCTTAGGGGGACAGGTATTATGGACTGAATGTTTCTGTCCCCCCCAAATTCATATTTTGAAATCCTAACCCCTAATGTAGTGGTATTAAGTGGTGGAGCCTTTGAGAGGTAATTAAGTCATGAGACTGGAGCTGTCATGGGTGGGATTAGTGGCCTTATAAGATGAGACATGAGAGCTTTCTCTCTCTGCTCTCCGCCATATGAGGATACAAGGAGAAGATGGCCACCTGCCAATCAGGGAGGGGGCCCTCATCAGATACCGGATCTGCCGGCACCTTCATCTTGTACTTCCAGGTCTCTGGAGCTGCGAGAAATATTTACTGTTTAAGCCATTCGGTCTGTGGTAGTTTGTTACAGCAGCCCAACTGACTAGGAGAACAGGTCTGATAACACAGTGACGCCCAGCCTGGGGTGGGAGTGGTCTGTAGAGTGAGGAAGGCATTTCTCCAGGGGAAAACGAAAACTTGCAAATCTCTCCCCCTACTTTGCAGTGGACATACTCTTCACAGTTGATGTCTCCTCCGCTCTGGAGACCAAGGTCTTTTCTTCCCTAGCTGCTCGTCAGCCAATTTTCCACTTAGAGCAATCTGGCAGTTCAAGAGTTGTGTCCTCTTGGCTCCCATTTCCTGTTTGTTTTTTGAATTCCAGTACACTTTTTAGATGATCAGATAGATTCCAGGGACCATGGAAGAGACAAGACAAAAGGGAAAAGTGCTTATCTGCTGTATTGTGGACTGGTGAATTTATCCTATTTTATACAGTTGGGTCAGTAGCTATTTTCATTCCCATGTATTTGGGAAGCATCTGATTATTTTAGCTATAGCTTCCTCTGAGCTAATAACCCAGTCTCTCTCTTTTCTCTCTCTCATAGTTAGATTACCTTAATCTGTACCAAGGAGTTCTAGAAGAGTTAATGCCTTGAGCTGCCTTCATTATGTGAGCAGCTAATAGGAGCAGTAATCTAGTTAAGTAATTTCAGAGTAAAGACATTAAAGAAGACTCTAGAATGAGAATCACTTAGTCAAACATTGATTGATAACACAAATAAGCAGACACCCTTCATAAACTGTAATTTTTCCCTGCACTCAATTTTTAGGCATAAGAGGCAAATCATAAGAGAGCATGACCATTTCGGAATCCTGGAATTCATAATCACAGGGCGGGAAGGGAACCTAGAGATTATGTCAGTCAGCTCTCTCGTTCTGCACGTGAGAAAACTGAATTCAGAGGCACTAGGTGACTTACACAAGGACACAGCTAAATAATAGAGAAGCTGGAACGAGAATAGTTTTCTTGACTGCCTGTTCCAGCATGCTACCTTCCATATGATATTGCCTCTTACAAAATTTGGTGGGGAAAGCATTTCCAGGGTCTTTCATGAGGATCTGATAGGTAGTCCAAATCTCTACACCATGGAAACCGGTGTTCCAAATTGAGTTGTCTATCTGTCTTAACATGTCTCAGATACACAGACATTGCCCCAGCCCTGAACTCACCACCCTACTGGGACCTTCCATCTGCATCCGTTTCTCCCCACCCTGAACCCCCACTAGTGCAATGTCCGTATCTCCAGTGGAGATGCCTTTCCCACCCACTTCTTTGACCTCATTTCTCCCCTTCACTTTATTAGTCCTAGTGTCAGCATCTCTGTGGAAATTCTACCTCCCCACACCTTGTGAGGTCCCCTGACCAGAGGAGCCCGAGCCCACTCGCTGGCTAACTTTGTCACTGAGAGTTTCCCTGGCTGGCCGGTTGGCTATTAGAATTCTCCCCGCTCCCTCACTCTCCCTCCCTCTTCCACCCCTCCAATGTCATTCCCTTCTTGAGGATCTCGTCTCTGCTGGAGGCTAGACAGACAGAGACTCAAGCTCCTTCTCGTGTCTAAGGACGTTTAGCTCCCTCTACCCACAGCTGGGCTCCTTCTTTGAGGTCAGGGTCTACTTCTGCCCTTGCCTTGGTTCCAGTGACTTATTTGAAGGATTAGGTCAATGTTCTCCAAACGTTTTGATGTGTGCAGCCCTATCAAAAAAAAAAAAAAATTGGAACATGCACTCTCAATATATTTACTTATAACTTATACACATGTACTACTATAAATCCATAAATCAAATGTACATAAAGCTTTGTTTCTCTCCAATATTTCTGGATAAAAAGAAATATAAATAGAAGTTGTAATAGGTTCTCCTTGTATGTCCTCTCTTGTCCTGCCACTCCCCTAAATTGCTGAATTGGGCAGTGGATAATCTGGGAGCCACACATGAGATAAGTCTGTGTTCGGCAATAGTAATAATAATTGCTGCCACTTTTTGAGCACTTGCTGTATGCCGGTGGTGGTCTAGGGGTTAAGATTTGGCACTCTCACCCCCATGGCCTAGGTTCATTTTCCAGTCAGGGAACCACACCACCTGTCTGTGGGTTGTCATACTGTGGCTGAGTGTTGCTGTGATGCTGAAAGCTATGCCACTGGTATTTCAAGTACCAGCAGGGTCACTTATGGTGGACAGGTTTCAGCAGAGCTTCCAGACTAAGACAGACTAGGAATAAGGACCTGGCCACCCACTTCCAAAAACGTTGGCCATGAAAACCCTATAAATAACAGTGGAG